TTGCAACATCCGTGAAATGATATAGAGGTACTAGATATTCTTGCAACGCTACTATAGGGTACGCTTATAACAGGCTTGCTTGTGATAAACTGTATTGCATCATGCAAGTTTTTCATTACTGTTTATCTGTAAATATTTCACAGGTGGATATTTTTTTATAGGATAGGGTGACAAACGAGCACACAGTCCACCTGACGGTAAGTGGTTGCTGCGGCTCATAGACATCTACATCTATCCTCGATTACGAATAAAGATGCAGATGTGTTGTCACCCGTGAGGACTAAGATGGAATGCTTCGATTCCAGTAAAAAGGGTCTCCGGTTCTCTACACTCACCATACGAAACACAGCAGCATTACGCTACTATTTTACGCTGGTATTCTGTGAGAGCGTGGTCCTTCCCCGGCCGAGCCGACACATTCGTGCTACAACTATACTACTAATATAACTGCAGCATGGCTCTACCACGTATAAAAAGGCCTAGTTCATTGTAGGGAGTACAACATTTACGCAATAGTGTGACAACGGTTTGAATGTAAGCATGCGAATATTCCTCTTTTAGTCATTACATTACATTTTTTTACGTGACAGAAATACGCTGCAGCTATATATATTATGGTTCTAGCACGAATGGGTCGGCTCCACCGGGGAAAGACCACGCCCTCACAGAACACCAGCGTAAAATACCAGCTGTATGCCGCTGTGTTTCGTATGGTGAGTTTAGAATATCGGAGATCCTTTTCACTGGAAACGAGGCATTCCATCTTAGTTCTCAAGGGTGACAACGCATCTGCATTTATTCTTAATCGATGATTTATGTAGATGTTTACGGACCTCGGCCCTTACTATCAGGTGCACTATGCTTGCTTGTCACCCCTATTCTATAAAAAAAATTACAGTTCATCAGATGTTCACTATACATTTATACAAACATATTAGTTATGACGTTTATATCGTCGTAAATTTAGTACTACAAGATCAAACGAAATTCGATTCCTGCCAGCACCAATGCATTTAAAAAGTTAATGGCACTTTTAGGTGCTGATTTCCCCCGTGCGGCAAAAGAAAATAACTTGAGAAACCCTGATTTCTTTAAAATTCTAAATATTTCGACGATATGTAAACACCTCTAACGTGATGCAAAGCTTTTTCTTATTTAAGTTTCATACCAACAGTTAGAGCGTTGCGTACCTTTCAGGTTTCAGTGACGCCGAAACTATATCCAGTAGAAAAACATATCCATTCGAAAATCCTTAAGTAAGTTTGTATTTATCTCATTCACACAATAATTATGAAATTAAAATTATACAAATCCGTCACAAATGCGAGCAGATTGCCGCGAAATTATTCACAAAGCGCCCTCGGCACGGACTTGATGATATTGTATTAGGTGATCACATACGAATGTGATCTTAATGGATACGGCCAACACACCCCTCATAAAACCTCTACCGACCTAACCGTCCTCGTAAAAGAACTCAATTTTCGCGCCATTACGGTTGACGTTTACGTCATTTCGCGCGCCAACGTACACCGACCCCAATCTAAATTAAAATCTAAAACCTTGTAAACAAGGCAAGTGCTCACTTTTTCGGGGATTTTAACCCTCGGAATTAACGAGATATAAAAGGGGGTAGGGATGTGCTGCGGTTGTTTTCTCTCTTCGGATACGTTTGGGATATTAACGTGATAGCAACTTTATTTTGCTTTTGTTTTATGTGGAGTCGCAATAAAAATGCTCATTTAGCTGTATTATTGCACACTGTATTATTTACGCTTTACACTTTAAAATAAAGCGGTGCTCTTTAGTAAATGGATAGAGTTATTTCGGACGAAGTTCATAAATTTTTTATTTTCAGGTTCCAAACGGTTTTACAGTTTGTTATGTTGTATTTATTTTAAGTATGAATGTAATGTTGTAAAAAAATGTAAAAAAATTACCTTCATATTCAATTTGCGCAGGTGTTTATAAAAGTAAGTTTGACAAATAAGTACACAATCGACCTGATAGTAAGTTTATGCTGTGGCCCATAGACATATACACCTACCCTTAATTGAAAATTTACTATGCGTTGTCACCCTTATGGGGAAATATAACCTCAAATGGCTTAGCAAGATCCTCCGTTATGCCGAAAGTATTGCGGCAATAATTTTGAAATAAATATATGGTAAAGTTGAGGATTAATGTTAAGGTTTATGTTAGACGAAAACACGATTCCGTAAAATTTTCTCGATAGAAAAAAAAATCCAAAGTTACCTCCAAACTGAACAATAAACCGCTGTTATTCATAAAATACTTTAAATAAGATCATGAAACTTTGCATACTAACTGAACTAACCATAAAGCAGTGCTTACGTTATTTACTTTTTTTTAAAATATCATTATTTTCACTGTAAAAAGAAATTACCTAAACTATCGGCGCGTAAGCTTGGTTCCTGTCGCTCCGTTAGTATTGCTCCGGCTTTTGAAGGGAGAAGTTGTGTCGCTTACGATCAGAAAACACATTACGCAACAGGAAGACGTAAAATTAAAATGGGAAATAACCGTTATAAAAATAAGAAGCGACTGGGTTGGCGTTAAGAAACAGGCATATATATGATAAACATAATGAAATAAGTATCTAACGACCTATCTACTTAGAGTATTAGTGATTACAAACATGTCGGTACATAGCATACGACGCGCGGGGAAGTGGGGGCGAAATTAGAATTTGAGCTGACTTACTCTCACCTCTTAAAGACTGAAATGCTATGACTCGTCACTAGTAAAAAGTTTCTCCAGTTCTCGTCAAGAACAATGCAACAGATTTTCAACAGCTGCGGATAAAAACATTTTAAGATTTTGTGGATTTTTTTAAGTGCAAACGAGCACCTGATGGTAAGTGACTACCGCCGCCCGTGAACAACTGCAACACCAGAGGAATTGCAGATGCGTTGCCCGCCTTTTTAAAAAGGAGTAGGCTTTTAAAAAGGAGATTTAGTAGAATTTGTAGTTTAGGATTATGGAGTATGTAAATGTAGGTCAGATACAGTCTAGAATCCACGGGGACGGATTGTAATCACAACACAACGAAAGGACACTCTCGGCCAGTCTACACCCTTTCATTGTTGACTTACTACGCATTCGAACCAAACTGTTTGCTTAGTCGTTCGTCATGCATACAGCGAAGGAGTGGAATAAGTTGCCAGCATCTGTCTTTCCATCTGATTACAATGTGAGTGTCTTCAAGACAAAAGAGAATAGACTTTTCTTAACCTAAGTCCATCAGATAGAATTGGAGTCTAGCATTGGTTTACCGTTACAGTCTTTTAAAGTCCAATGTTGTACATAGGCCTTCCACATGGCTTGTCTCATAGGGGGAGATACTTGCTGTAGTTGCCTCGCTGGGCAAGCTGGTTGGCAACTGCATTTTTTTATTTTTAGTCTTTATTAGGAAGACGCTGCTGCTCATCTCCTGATTTGATTCACTCTGTCGCCCTTTACGACACTCACGGGATAATATAGGGTAGCGGGTATTCTTACATCCCCACTACACGTGGCGGTAGTAGTATCAAGCATTGGATTAGAATAGTAAAAGAAGAGATCTAGAAATCGTGGTTGGATTCGATTATACATGTATCATTAAAGGAAGGAGGAACTACTTAAAACATACATGACATAAACACTTAAACGCTATAAACACAAGCACATACACACACACACACACACAAAACATTTTTCGTATTTTTTTTCTCTTGTTTATCATACACCTAATATTACCTAGATTATCAGGTCTGAAGATGGGGGCTGGTGATCTGTCATACAGGGAATCCTAGTACGGACACCAGTCTCTCACAAATTAATTGTAACATATTAAAATTAAGTTGTATGTTTATATTTATTACTAAATTTGTGAGGGGAAGAATGAACTTATTATTATTATCGATTATAAACCGACGTCTTCTAAATCGATTAAAAAAGAGGAGGTTTAAAACGTAGTGAATTGGGATTGTATACTCTATGAGGAGATTCTAAATTCGATTATATTTTTGTATGTAGGTTAACATACGCGATATCTTTGTCGACTTTGAATTGAATTGATGATTCTTTTATAATTTATGAACCCATTTAAAAATTGAATAATCTTTGATGCACTATCTTAACATCGACGGTTAAATTCTTTTTTTAAACGTAAAATCCACACTAGGATTTGCTTCTGTATCGTGGGGTTAGTTCTGTATCGTAAGGACAATAATCCACACCCGGAACAATTATTCGTAGGCCATACAAACACTTGTTCCGTGCGGTTTCGAACCCGCGGTCCTTAAATCTGCAACTCATTGCTGAGTCACTGCGCCACGGAGACCATCAATTGTATGGAAATTATTTTCATTCATTAATTTACTATCAATAGGTCACGGCCTCCTTCATAAATGCCCTCCTCCATACAGGTGGGCTATTTGTCCCGATTGCCACAATTGGCAGGCACATTGGCACCGCAGTTTTTTAATTATTTTGGTAGTTATCGGGAAGATGGTTACCATAGCTACATTGGCAAAATAAATCTATTTTCCGTTTCATTTCAATAGTCGCCTCTTACTTCACCCACGGGATCATATAATAAATCTCTTACGCTACAACCATACGGCACAGAAAATATTTTGTTTTATTTTATAATTGGTTTTTACTTATTAAAGTATAATTATTTTCTTAATTATCATTATCATTACAGTTACGTAATCATACTGCATACCCAAAAACCAATCTACACATCATATATAAAAATGATAAAATGTAAACCTATTATTTTCCATTTTCAATAAATTCAGTCTGGGCTAATTAATAATAATGATAGACGGCAGAGGAAACAAATCTAACAATGAAAAATGTAAACATGTATATACGTACATTTTTATTTTACTTGTGCACAAAAAATAAAATAAAATAGCAATCAAAAACCAATTTGTAAAAATAATTTCCCTCGAAGTAACCGGCCTACGAAGGCCGGTTACTTCGGTAACTTAATGTGATTCACTAAAGTGGGTAAAAGGGTTATGTGTTGTTGTGGGCGAACTTTTTATAATGACAGAGGCAACTGGTGAAGAATTAGGAAAGTGAGGCTCTTTTCTTAAAAGCAGAGAATCAAAGGAATTTTGTATTTGAGGTTTATCAGTAACTCTACTTTCCCGACCACGCTGCAGCTCCGCTAAGTTGGTAGCAAGTTTAACGGCTGCATCTCCATACAGCCTTTGACTGCGACGAACCTAAAATTAATACAAATAGATTAATTGATAATTTTAACTTAACAGATATTACGAGTATTGTTGATCTAACAACCTTTTGCTTTTTAATCCTCTAATGACAATGCTTTTTGTTCAAATTTCTGTTTTCGGCGACCTTGCGACGTATCTATACATCAGCAATTTTGTTAAATCTTTTATAATAAATTGTTAGCTTATAGAATAAATTTGTAAATATTACAAAAAATAATGTTTAAATATTTGAAATACCCTCAAATCATACGTTAATATTAATATTAGGTCTTTATCTATGACATTGAAGTTTTTTTTTATTAAATAAGTTAACGTATTTTTTTCAATATCTTTTATTTCTATTATTCAAAGTAATCAACTATGCAATCGATGCATCTTTTCCAACAATTTCCTTCTTGAAGAAATCAGCTGGACGGAAGGCAACAAATTCTTCAAAGGTATTTTGTATTGCCTTTCGGCTATTGCATTTTTTCCCGCCAAAATTTACCCAAATTCTGGAAAAAGTAGAAGCCTGTAGATGCAAGGTCTAGTGAGTTCGGCGGATGACGGAGAGCTTCCAAAAACAGTTCTTTTAACTTGGAGACCGTCTGTTGTGCAGTATGAGGTCGTGCGTTGTCGTGCAGGAACAGCGGGGACGAGCGATTGACCAAAGCTGGTTGGAGATGTGCAAGCTTCTCCATCATTGTGTTCAGTTCTTCACAGTCCATATCGGCAGTAATGTTCATCCCGTTTGTTGTGATAAATCACACTAGCCCACCAAACAGTGACCATTACTTTTCTAGGGGTGATTTTTCGTTTAAGGCATTGTTTAGATGCTGAATCAGGATCCAACCAACTTGCTGAGTGCTTGCGATTGTCAAAAAGAATCCATTTTTCGTCGAAGGTAACAATGCGGTTGGAAATTCCTTCCTTTGTGTGCCTGTTGAGCAGCGCAAGGCACGTTTTAACGCGTACGTTGCGCTGGCGATCATTGAGTTCGTGGGGCACCCATTTGTCAAGCTTTTTTACCCTACCAATTTGGCGCAAATAGACCAATATTTTTTTTGATGCTAGCGTCGAAAGCTTATGGGGTTCATTTTTCAGGTCAAAATTTCCAGAACGTAAGCGGGCAAACCAATAAGGTGGTGCGTCGATTTGTAGTGTAGTATTCGCTCCACGTCGCTGATGTTGCGTGCCGTTTGTGCCGTGTTGCTGCCATGACGGTACTCATATTTCATAATTATTCGAATTTTTGACGTATCCAAGATGACGATTTTTTTTAATTCGATGAAAACGAAACCCTAATCCATGAAGGTTAGAGAATAGGAGAACGATCGCCGTAAAAAAAAGTGTCCCAGAAATATGGACCTCATAAGTGAGGCGTTGCGATCACAAAGTTCGGTCAATAAAAGTCATTTTCAGTCTATTTTTCCGATCAGATGCTAAGCCACTTGCACATCCACGCACAATAAAATATTTCTTCATTTTTTTATGTTTCTTTTTGTCAAAATTACAAAAATTTTCTCATTAAAAATGAAATGAAAATTTGTACATTATTCAACTAACTTCATCTACTTGTACTCGTAACCAGCTAACTTCGCAGTCACTACTCACCAACGTCAGCGCCGTTATAAATTCTACAATTTTCAAGGACAGGCTTGCTTTTCAAGGAAAGACATGCTTTAGTACGTAGTGATCGTTCTCCTGTTCTCTAACCTTCATGCCCTAATCAATAAACAATAAACTAATTTTGAAAAAAGAATTCTGTTTTTAAAATAAAATGAGTTTGAAATTATAATTCTTAGTTAAAAAAAATATTTTGATTTTAAACGACCAATACTGCAGAACGGCAATTTCATAGGTTTTAAAGAGAATTTTTTTTTAAAGACCTATTATTGAGCCGTAGGTAATACCTAGAGGTATGTGTGTCTGCTTAAAAATCATAGAAAGAAAAATTGTTAACTGCAATTTTAAATGCTGATTTACCATGTAGTTATCATCAGGAAAATCTGCTTGTCTGAGACTATTTCTCTGCCTAGACATCTAGTTAGGTCTCTCTTATCTATTTCTGGCGCCAAATAGCGGTGCTTGTACATCTGTGTTCCGGTCTGATGGGTATAGAGTAGACTTGCAACGAACAGTATATTCGGCCACACGCCGAATACCGCATTTTCTGCGGGCTTCCTGGCCAAATAGCCGAATATTAGGAAAAAGCATTAGGCCAGGAAGAAAGCACTGTTTTTTATACAGAGCGTTTTTTGTCAGAAGCTGGGATTGTCGACGAGAAGGAAATTAGTAAACTACTGCCTGAAAATGTAGAAGAATTTGCCTTTCTGCACAAGAATCTTCCACTTTAGTTACGATAATTCAAGTGCATAGACGTTAATCTGATAGTATATTTTTTTTTATAATACGGAAGTTGTTTATGTACCTGTGAGTACTTTAATGATTATAATAAAAATACATCATTATAAAATAAATCGACATTTTTATTTTAGCAATTATCTGACTACAACAAAACATCTTAATCAAATATTCGGTATTCGGCCGAATAGTATCCAGATATTCGGTATTCGGGCGAATAGAATAAAGTAGCCGAATAGGCCGAATACCGAATAATAGCCGAATATTCGTTATCTACAAGCTTAGTACAGTGGCTATTGTAGACCATGAACATCTGCTGCCACTTTCAAACAATGATAGCTACATGAAAAATTACACAATGAACGCTACAGACGCGTTGTTACCTCTGAGGACTCGCTATACCCTTCAGACTGGGACACAGCAGCGCAAACACTAAGGTACATGAGGGTAATATGGTCGCCTTTAGCTTTGCCGCCCTATAGAACCAAAACTATGAGGATGACAGAGACAAAAACACAAAATCGTATGCGATAACTAAAATATTAAGAAAAAAAATAGCGAACAAGCCTTGTCATTAATTGTGAACACTTCGAAAAATCAACTTAAAAAAACTAACTACACTACACCATACTAAAATCTACTAAAATATTTACTATAATATCAACTATCAAAATGGCGTTGATAAAGCAGCGCCCGTTTGACCCTTTATTATTTGATTAACCGATAAAGAGCTATCGTATCACAAAGCCATCTATGTAAACAAGGCCGTAGTTTTAGACTTATAAGAAAGTGACCATATAAACCGGATGACCATATTATCTACCCTGATGTACTATGTTTGTTGGCACAAATAGGTGAGAGGATGGCACCTGAGAGGATGGAGGACGCGGAAGTACTTCTAGGCAAAACGGGGATGCCTGCCACCCCAAAAGAATCATATTTTATTGTTGAAGCAAAGACATAAATAACTCACCTCATCATGTAGTTCAGCCCTCCTTCGCGAGACCCATTCGATCTGTTCCTGCAGGCGCTTGCATTCCTTCTCGTTGTTCAACAGATCGTTGCGTAAAGAGTCTATAATCTCACGGTACTTGTGACGCAGGTCATAGTCGATGGCGTGAAGGTTCTCGATCTCATTTTGCGTCTCTGCTATCCTCGATTTGGAGAGACGTAGTCTACCTTCCTAATAACACAGAACGAACAAAACGTCACACAGGATTTAATACCTTTTTAGCTTATACTTAAAATTATTATTCTAGTAGTAACAATATGAATGAAGATATTTTTAACTTAAATTTCGTTATAAAAATCATGAAATATTTATCAATAATCATAATATCATGGGGACCGTGTTAGCTTAGTGGTTATAAGCGTTCACTGTGAATTTCTCAGTACGCGAGCAACACGGATTCGACTCCGCAATTCGACACTAGTGAATTTTTTAATTGTTTACCCAGTACTCCATAATCCTCCCAGAAATAATTGGCCTGTGTCCACTAGTGAGACGTATAAAAGCTGGTTTTTTTTTACTTCAATTATGAAATAATGAGGGATTATTTGAAAGCTTCCGCAGCTGTTACTCAACCGCAACTGCTGGTAAAAGTCCACTGCTAAGCATAGCTTTCGGATTCCCCCGTCGTCTCTTACGACTCCAAGGACGATATCGGGTAGTGGCTACCCCACCGTGGTACCGTGTAGTGCGATAGAGTTCTACCACGCATAACTGAAATGCTTTCTCGTAAAATGTTACTTGTTTCGCTAACCTTCTCTGCTAATTTCCGGGTAAGGAGGTCAAGATGCTCATCTAGGCTGTCTTTCTGCTCAACGACGTAACGCTGCACTACATTGTTATGGGGGCAAAGACGGTGTACCAGTTGCACGGGGACAGGGACTGCTGAGTAATCCGGCTCTGACTGTAAAATAGGACAAAAGTTTGGTATATTATATATATGTATATATATATATATATATATATATATGTATATATATATATATATATATATATATATATATATATATATATATATATATTAAAATACCCAAGTGCGAAGAAAATGGTCAATTCTCTAGATAGGTCCATGTTCAACCGTGGACTGTTTGTGAGCTAATGAGAAGAGTAGATGTGTTACAGCAAAAGCTTTTTTTCGATGACACTGGGCATTACCACTATTTTTGTAACTAAAAAATTCTGAATATACATATATAACATATAACACATATTATTCCGAAAATAAAGAAAAAATTTTGTTAAGAGATTTTATGTACGCCGGTTCAAAATTTTTTTTGGTGTACCTCGGTGTCTTAAGTGTAGTGATTTTTTTGTGGTAGGTAACTCAAAACGCAGCGTCACTCCTTACGATTAAGATGAATGCCGCGTTACCAATAAAAAGGGTTTTCGGTTCTCGTGACAGAGCAAAACCGTAGAAAAGTAGGATTATGCTGCTTCTTTACGCTGGTATTTCGAGGGAGAACGGTCGAAGGTCGAGCCAACTCTTTATTGTAGCGGCTATAACAAAGCTTCAGTGTGGCTGTACCATGTAAAAACCTACGTAGTTAAAGAAACATTTCGTAAAGTTACGATATTCGCGTCGCTTCATAAAAACTTTTATATTTTTTTTACTTTAGAATATTATGAAAGTTTAAATTTTGATTTAAATGTATGTAAGTAACAAGTACTGATTTTAACTGGGACCTGCTTTGTGGTGTCCGTTTTGATGTCTATTATTTCAACTTATTTTAGCTTATAGTATTTGTTTAGCTTTTATTTTGGGAGAAAGTATAAGTTCAAAAACGTAAAAAAATTATGTAAGTATCTAATAAAGTAATTTTCTTTTTGTTTTTGTTGAGAATTACGGCAAATACTTGTTTAGTTGTGCCTTTGTTATACGATACAATAAGTTCTGCACATATTTATTACTTTGATTATAAAGTAGTTAAGCATAGGAAAATAAGAGATCAAACCTTCTGTATCCATTTCTGTCGTATGTAGAGCAGAAGAACTAGTAAAATTAATCCAATGCTAGCAACGGCAGTAGCGTTCATCGTCTCAACCACGCCGAATGGTGCTTACCATTCTATCATATAACTAGAATGTGATAATATTTTGGGAGTTTTTCATTTTTTATTGTATAAAATTGACATTTCAATGTCATTTTTTTGCTTTCAGTTTAGCGACAGCTTTTGTCGACATTTTATTTTTACGCACGTGTAGCTAAAAGGTTTTTATTAAATACTCCTATTTCTTTTAGTTTATGGAACGTAATTTATTTCATAGACGTGAATATACTGGAGTGGTATATTTAATAAAACGTACATAGTATCAAACCTAATTTATACAGTGTATAGCGTTAAACCTAATTTTGTATAATTTTTAAGGATAGTTAAAATATATTAATAATGTTTGCTAGAGTTCGTCTCTAACGATTTTAAGGTATGGCGATTATGATAAATGCCAGTCACCACAATGAAACTGTGTCTTTCATAATGGCAGCATAATCATCACCTATATGCCAGATAAAAATATTCGGACCGCTGATGAGGAGCACTACACCACGGTAGAGTCAGCAGTAGAAAGTTTTTTATGTGGTAGAGCCATGCTGCAGTTATATTAGTAGTATAGTTGTAGCACGAATGGGACAGCTCGACCGGGGAAGAACCACGCTCTCACAGAAAACCAGCGTAAAATAGTAGATTAATGCTGCTGTGTTTCGTATGGTGAGTGTAGAGAACCGGAGAACCTTTTTGCAGGAAATGAGGCATTCCATCTTAGTCCTCACGGGTGACAACGCATCTGCATTTTGATTCGTAGTGGAGGATAGATGTAGATGTCTATGGGCCACAGCAATCACTTACCATCAGGTGGACTGTGTGCTCGTTTGTCATCCTATCCTATAAAAAAATACAGCTCAGCGACTGTAGAAGTCCTAGCCAAGTTAGACTTGCATGAGATGACAAGAAAATATTTAGTACAAAAAACCAAAGTCTTGAATCTTAGGTGCTTTCAATAAAAATGTTTCAAAGTGATATACACGTCCCTTTTAAAATACCAGCATAAAATAGCGTCATAATGAGTACCTGATGGTATGTGACATATTAACACTTACCACTTACTTATTATCCACTTTTTTACTGGTATTTATGCTGTCTAACTGGTAACTAAACGTTATTGATGATGACGTCATATAGATACCTAACCGAATTAGATATCACCTGTCTATGGGCTACACCTTCCATTTACCATCGGGTGGACTGTGCGTCACTTTTGTATAACAGAGTTGTAAGTATACAAGTGGTAAAAAAAATGTACAACCGACTTCAACATAAATAAAATGAGAACATCGTCAATGTAGTCGAAGTCAATTAAATACGAATTATTAAGGATATCTCAAATAGTACTGATCAGATCTTGATCAACTTTGTATGAGACCACATGAGTAACACCAGCTTTAAAAAAAAAAAGAATCTTCAATACATTAAAATACAGTCGAATTAAGAACCTCCTCCTATTTTGAAGTCGGTTGAAAAACAATAAAATTTTCAGTCCTTATATTTTGAAGAACAAATTGTGTCTCTGATAACGGTCGACGACGTAATAACCTGACCCTGTACTTATTTATGTTCTCGCTTATATATTTACCATAGCTGCCACGCTTTACAGGAAAGCATTGCAATAATGGTAAAAATTATGTAATTAAGTAATCAGTTCACACAAATATCGTCACAATCGTTACCTACCGCTATAGATCAACTATAAAATATAATGCAAGTAATCTGTATACGATTAGCATGGTCCTGTTTATCTCGATATGCTTAATGAATACAAACCGTATACGAATTTCGGGACCCGAGTAACAATAGCAGTCATCCATCACACGCTGTCGGCAACTCAGGTGTCGAGACTTGATGGATTGCATTACGTATTGTTATTGATGGCCATTTCATAGCAACAGTTACCAACAATGCACTTTTGTAATAAATACTATATTTTAACAGACAATAAAATAATGCTATTGAAGAAGAACTAAAACAGTTTTATGAGAAAAAGAATCAATCAGCACATTTAAGGTATATTTCTGGCAAATATATAAAGCAATACCTACGACTAGTTTAAGTAAATTTTTGGGTTACCACATGTATTTAGAATTAGAGTTTACTAGTGTCCGCCAATTTAGATCTTTTAGTAGTATTCAGAAAATATTTAAAATTCAAACAATTTACTCCAAACTTCAGTCTTATTAATAATTCAACTTTTATTAAATCAAAGGCCATACGTCATCTTTCCGAGAAGATGTTTATCTGGAGATTTTGAGTATTGTCGAGAGTCTGGAGATCATTTATAAATGTCGAGAGAATCCAGACGAATCCAACGAATAATCTAGTAGCAGATAAATAACAGTACAGTGTTTAGCCGAGTTTTGTGTAGTCGAGCATTTACTTGGTAACATTGCAATAAATCTCCATTTTTACGTTTGTGGGTTTGACAAAGAGAACACAGTGCATCTGACGGTAAGCGAATGTTGTTGCCTATAACGTACAACTATTCCCGATTAAGAATTATAATATGAATCCGTTTTTACTCTTCAGGAAAAAGTTGGAAAGCTTCGTTATCTGTAACAGGGTCTTTTGTTCTAACATGAGAAATAATTGTCGCTTGTTTCTACGAGAGCGTGCTCCTACTCCAGTCGAGCCAAACCGTTCGTGCTGCAGTCGTAATACAGCTGCAATTTGTTACCATCAATCTTCTATAAACCACAGACATATCCTATGCGACCTATGAGACCGCAAATATGATTTTTCTGCGATATAAGTTACCAAAATACTGTTAACACATATGCAGTTTTTAAAGCGTCAAAATACATACATAAATAATATATAACCACTCACGCCCGTCACGCAGAACGGTAGGCAGACTATGGACTTCCATTTTGCACGACCCTATTACACCTCTCTTTCCTCCTTTTCATCCATATATACCTATACATACATGCTCGTTGGTTAAGAGTACTCTTAATTTGACCCATATTCAATCTATTTCCAATTTCGTCTATAAACTTTCGTCTAGACTTCAAAAATATTTCTTTTTAAATTGTATATAATAGTTTGTAGAAAATCCGATGCGTTTAGCAATCGACATTATTCGGTCATTAGTCACTATAACACGTAATGCAGGCTCGATTTCCGCCC